CCCCCCCCCCCCCCCAGCTCAGCAGTAAATGCCTAACTTGTCATTCAGTCCTGGGAGTCAAAGGTAGCTGGGTGTGATGCTGTCTGCATCGGTGTTTTGTGCTACTGGTTATAGAAACTGGTGTGCCTTAATTGTGCTGACTTGATGTGCCCAGTTGGCTCTGGTCAATTTTTGACATATTTGAGCTAAAAGTGCATGGCTCTTTTTAGCTTTACAGTGGGATAGCTAATATCTGCATAAGCACAGCATTATGTCTCTTGCCCCAGGGGCTGCTTCCCCCATCCGGCGCTCAGTAGAACTAATGCCTTGTCACCACTCGAGTTTTACAGAAGGTAAAGTATACCTTTTGTGTCATTGAAGGCAGGCCTGGTGGGTGGCAGTCAGAACTGAAAAGGATGCGTGTGCTGGCTAAGTACGCCAGAGCACTAGTTGGGCAGCTACAGGAGAGAGGTCCCCTGACTTGGGCTGACCAGATGCAAATGCTTTGTACCCTCTTGTGTTTTTCACTCAAAAATGTAGATGGTTTCTGGGACTTGCATTTTCCTCCTTGTTTACAAAGGGAACACCCACTGTTGGAAGGTGCAAGATTATCTCCTTCCCTATGTGTTATATATATACTCTTGGAAAAGGGAAGAATTTGGAATGGAGTGGGAATTTATGGAACTATTGAGGTTAATGGTAAAACTCCCACTGGCTACAAAAGGAGCAAGATTTCATCTTTAGATCATCTCTATTAGTTGAGTATTAATCGCACCAACTGGATTTAGATACAAAGTGCAAAAATAAGTGGGTTTAAGACTACACCAATTGTGTGTTGTTTAGGATAAAACTTACTTAAATATATTTGCTCTCTAAAGTTGCAAAGGCCATAAATATCCTTGTATAGTGTCTCTCTCTTTCATCTATACTTTTATATTTATATAATGAGTTATTACGTTTTAGTCTGTGACAACATTCAGGTTCCCTTTAGGAGAAAAATGCTAACTAAAGAAATCCTCCACATTCTTTATACATCAGTCTAGATTTGATCACCTATCTAAAACTTGTTGAATTCTACTGAGGTTAATGCTGTTTCTCTGCATTTTCACCCCTGCAATTGAGATCAGAATATGTTTCATAAATAATTTGCTATAAAAGTTGTTTGTGACAAGCATTTTCCTGCAGTTTCCTTCTTGGAAAAAGGTTTGTTGCTTACCACTAAGCCCCAGGGTATGTTTGATAGTAGCTACAGATAAGCATCTGTTGGCGCCCAGGGTTTTTGTATGTGAAGATCAGGTGCAGTTATAAAAGGTGAATCTTTTCTGACCTCAGCAGTTTTAGGAGCCACACAGCCCTTTTCTGCTCTTGAGAGTGCATCTGCCTTTGAGGCCAGCTCTGTTTGGATATTGTGAGCTCTGCTGTGTAGCTAAACTGGGTCCAAAACTACCGTAGAGTTTGGGGGAATTTGGATCTGACTTCATTTCTTAATCCCAGCTCCATGGCTTGGGTCCATCTTTATAAACAAGCTGCCCTCCAAGACTTCACAATTAGAGACTGAAAAACTGCCCAACAGGAAACAGTTAGAAATTTGTGAGTCTCAAGGCAACTCCTGGCAAGTTAAAGGGCCTCTGGCTTTCACAGTAAATACAGGACTTTGAAGTTCCTAGACAGGGTTGGATTTTCAGCTGTACACATGCAGGAGTCCTGGTAAGACAGTCCTTCCAAACAGTCATGAGAGTCCAGCCCTGAGGAAGGAGTCCAGGGTCAGATGCTGGAATGAAAGTAGGCTGCTCCCCTCAGCTCTGCACGTGCATTCCTTAGAGGCGCTGAGCTTGTCTGCTCTTACTGAAGTGGGCGGCAGGCTGGCCATTGATTATGATAGTACCAAAATGGGGCCCTCCAGAAGTTTCTGTGGAGAATTCACTGACTGACCCAGAGTGTTATAAAGTACTATCGTTATCTCAGATGCTGGTAGTCTAAAGGGTTCCAGATCTGCTCATTAAAAGTGCGGAGATCCTGCAGCTCTGACTGCCACTGGGAGGCAGCTTCTCACGTGCCCCATCCCTCTGAGAGTAAGTGCTCACTAAAGCAAGTAAAGGTCTAACCACTGGACCCTGGGAAAGCTCCTTAAGACACTGTAGCAGGGAAGCGCTTGCACCTGAGCAGGGCTGTTTGTTTTGTTTTGGCCTCCTTGGGATTCATGGCTTTCTTTTCTCTCCTCATTTGGCCTCAGGTCAGAATAATTTGGCAAGAATAACACTGAGGACAAGTGCTCCACTCTTTTAGCTGTTATCTTGTCTAATTACTAGAAAGCTTTCTGGACAATGAAGAGAGACTTCTTCTAATCTCTTCTCCATTTCTCAGGCTACACTTTCTCACACTTGTCTTTGTCTTCTAAAATCACAAGCAGTAGGATTTAAAGGATGCCATGGGAATGGGAGAAAGAGCTGTTACAGGGAGCTGTTGACAAACAGAGCTTTTCTATGTCTGTCTTTATTTACGTGGGTTTTTTTTATACTTTGGAGAGACCCAAGAGGTGGCCTCATGCTGCATGGCAATACTCTGCAGCAGATAGTACAGGTAATGTGTGTCTTCTCTCTGGCTGTATCTCACAGAGAAACCTGTCAGCCTGACTTACCGATGTCCCTGTCGATTCTACGAGAGCAACGTGGCCAGAGCCAACATTAAGCACCTCAAAATCCTGAGCACACCCAACTGTTCGCTTCAGATTGTGTAAGTCTCAGAACATTTTTAAACACATTGCTTAACTTTAAACAGTAAATGGGGTGAATATGGCAGAAGACAGGGCATGGTAGCATCTTAGGGTGCATCTCCACCAGTGGGAATGTGCATTCCCAGGGGACAACTAGCAGCAGCGGTGCTAGCTGGCCCCTCCTGGGTTGGCCCTAGCAGCCTTACCTGGAATCCTGGGAGCCTCCTGGGGCTCCAGCAGTGGTGATCCAGACGTGTGGAGCCTGGTTGGCAACCAGAGCTTGGTTCTGGCTGGCCAGGGTCCAGTTTTGGGCAGTGCACCCTGTTGCCATGTGCGCTGCCCTGCTTTTTTCTGGTGTGGGGTTTTTTGACACCAGATTTAATTAGCAGCATGGTGAACACCTGCATGTGCGATGTGCAGTTTGCGGTGTTGCAGATGGGTCTGCTGTGCCACAAACCACATGTGTGCACTCATCTAAATGCACCCTTAGAGACTAACTACTTCAGAGAGGCATAAGCTTCTGTAGGTGACAGCTTACTTTGTCAAAGTCTTTTTGATTTCTAAAGGTGTAACCCTGCCAAGACTTTTCCTGACTTAAGACAAACATGGCTGACTGTCTCTCTCTACTCATGAAGTTAATATAGGAAGCTAAGGTGTTCTGTGTTATCTCTGTGTCGGGTACAATATCAGATGTGTATGGCTATCATCTATGTTTGTATTTACAAGGTGAACTAGTCAGAAATTCCCAGACAAATTTTCTCATCGGAAAATAATTTCTGATTAATTAATACGTTTTCTTTAAAGTGTTAATTTCCTTGACATTTAGGAGGGATTTGCAGAAAATCAAATATACATTGTTTTTCTGAATGAAATCCTCAAAATTTGAAAGGCAGATTTAGAGGAAAACTAGTTAAATTTATTTTTACTGACATTTTACAGCAGGGAAATAATTTCGCAACCAGACCTAAGTACTATTAGCTTCTACTGCCCTCTGCACGAGATGGAGAATCTCAACAACTTCCGAATCAGTTCCACACAGTTTCTTCTACATGGACCTTCACTGATCCAGAGCTATATATGGCCCTTTAAAGTGTAACAGCTTAAAAAAGCAAACAAACAATGCCTCCCACCCCCAGCCCTATCCCCTGTTGCTTGGCATATTTTTGCATGTAAAACACCTCGTGCTCTAGTGACCATCCTCAAAAATGCAAATGTTTCGTCAAGGACATGTTTCGTGAACACAATTGCTTTTTCAGTTGAAAAATATACAGTATGTATGTATTTACTTAAAAGAATCAAGTGTAGATAAATCTTGTATATTTTCCTGCAGAGGCCTCACATTTTATTGTTGTGCAGTACAGTGGGGAAAAAATTAGTCCAAGCTAAGGAATAATTTGCTTTTTGTGAAAGTGGCAAAAACAAGTGTGTTTGCCTAGGTAAGATGTAGAAGTAGACAAGTCCCCTAATTTCCTTTGGAAAAAATAGTGTGCATACATGAATTTATGTACTTCTGGAGCTGCCTATTACTCCTCACAAGTCTCATTGTAAAAACTTTGTGGAGATTTGGATTTATCTGTAGTAGTTTCAAGAAAAAAGTATTTTAGATTTGATGCAATATACATTTTTTCTCTTGATTAACGTGGGAGTGTAGGGAGTGTAGTAATTAGAGGGGAATATGACTGTGAAATATTGAAGTGGAAACAACCTGCGTTTTGGCCTGGCCATTGTTTGTAGTTTGTTAGTATATACAGAACAGATACTCCATTGTTTTTTCATGTTTTATTACTTAAATCAAGAGATGTTTCTAAAGTAGAGCCTGAACTTGAAATGTGCTAGAACCCAGGGCACATCTGCATACAGGATATGACACTTCTTAAAAACCTTTAAAAATAAATTCTAACATAGAAAATCCCATTTTAGCAGAATTTATTGGGGCATTGAATTTAGTGACCACATGCTACAAGCATGTTTGATTTATATAAATATTCAGATTACTCACTTTAGAATCCATCAGTTTTTGGATTGAAGAATCTCATTAGAATCCCATATTAGGAGTTTATGGGCCAGTCCTGAAGTTTTGAAGAAAGATTCCCATTAAAGCCAGTTGGCCTTAATCTATGTACAGAGAATGTTTGTAAGTGCTTTAAGTTTGTTTCCATCTCTGTGCTGTGTTCCCATGTAAGAACAGTGGGCCTGATTTGCCCTCACTTAACACTAGTATCGCTTCACTGAGTTCAGTGGAGGTATTCTAGATTTACATTGCTGTAAAACACATCAGGATTAGATCCTCTTGGAACATTATTTATGTAAAGACTGCAGGATCAATACCTTAGTTGTTCACATTTATGACAAGGACATGAGTAGACTTCAGAATTAGCAGCATTTTAGGTGTCTTACTTCTTTCGTTTGCTTAATTGATTTAAGCAAGAAGGACTTGATTTTGCAAGATGCTGAGAATTTGTGCCTCAGTGGCACTGCAGAGCAGCTAATGCCAGTTCCCATTATATTTGGCCTGAGGTGAAGCTCCTTAGCACTCTTAGGAAGTACTGAGTACCCAAAGGATTAGAGCCATGGTACACTGAACTTTAGATGAAATGCATGAGGTACTGTATATCTTGTTTCTACCTGATACATCCCATTTAACCTAAGAGTCCAGCTGAGATGGATAGGTGATACTGCTTGGTTTTCAAAGGCTGGGAGATAGAGTTTGGTCAGATAAGTGCGCAGAAATATGGGTCCTCATCTGTATTTAAAGTCTAAAAACCACCTGAATCTGCAAATCCAGGTCAGAAATTTCATGAGGACAATCTTTCTCAAGAGATTTCTCGTAATCCCATTTCAAGTGCTGACTAAAAAAACATATGAAAAAAAGTTGCCTTCTGATGTGGCAGTACTACTAGATCATTCTCTGTCTTGGATTCTGAAATTTATGACCAGAACCTCCAGAAGGTCCGGTTCTGCTTTTGTTGTAAAATTGTATGAAAATCCAGCTTGAGCAAGAGTCAAGGTTCACTGGCTGCATTTACACATTCATGAATGCGCTGTAATTACAGTGCATTAAGTTTAATCAGCGTTGCTGTGCATTGGTGCAAATGAATAGTCTGTTTGTAATGTTAATGTTCAGCAGACTAAATCTACTGTGCATTAGCATGGATTTTTGCCTGCTGTACTAATGCGCAGTAGAATTAGTCTACTGCATTCAAAGCGTCTCATGTAAATGCATTCAGTGATGCTTGTTACCTACCATACCTCTTGCTTAAACTGCACGTGTTTGTCATTTATTTTAAACTAAAATACAGTTCCCACATGCCCATAACTGATAGCAACTCAGATGCTAGTTATAAAATGTAGAGTGAATTTATGTGTTCATTCATACAGCACAGTAAAAGCCAATGAACCAAAGGCAGATGAGGAGCTAAATCCTGCTAGACATTAACAACATTCACAGGAGAATTTGGTTCAAGAGGCATTCTGTAGAACAGGGGCTTTCAACCTTCTTTAGTCAGTGTACCTGTAGTGGCTGGACACGGGCAGCAGGAAGGAGGGGAGTGATGTGCAGCCAGATGCAGAGCAGCTGCAGCACGGGGTGGTCAGTGTGGCATGCAAGCTCCCCCCACCCTCCCTGCGTCTGGTTGCAGGGTGGTGGGTGGCAGTGCTCCATCCCTGCCTGCCTGCGCGTACCCCCTAGCCACTTCTCAAGTACCCCCCTGCTGCAGAATGTTATCCCTTGCACTCATACTGCAACTCTTCTCTTCCTTTGGCAGTGCAAGGCTGAAGAACACTGGCAAACAAGTGTGCGTTGATCCCAAGTTAAAGTGGATTCAGGAATATCTGGAGAAAGCTTTAAACAAGTAAGATGAAAAAAAAAGGACTTAGCTAACACATCCCATGTTATTAAAGGGTAGAACTTTAAGGGCTGGTCTTAACTATATGGACAAAGTATTCAGTGGAATCAGGCATTGCTGTCAAGATGGGTTTAGAGTTTTCCTAGTATGTATTATAACAGTGTTTTGTAGCATTTTCTGTATTTTCTACTAAGAGAGGTTTGCCAGTATAAGGGCAAGAGATGTCCTAATGAGTCTGATTTGGACTTCCCTAAATCATTCTTTTAAAAGACCAGTTCTCCCAAGGAAATTGCTGCCTTTATGACCCCTCTCTGCATGCCCAACGTGATCCATCATTACTTCAACATCTCTCTTATTTCAGTATCATTGCAACTCCTTATCCACTTTACAGTGTGAGTCTGTCTGCACAGGCAGCTGAGTGTGCATGGGGGTTAGTAGGCAAAAGCATCCCTCTTCTGGTCATTTCAAAGTCCTATTTAATATCTGCCAAGACAAGGTACATTGCTATGAATAAACCTTCTCCCACCCTGCCAGAGGAAATTCAAATGTGTCTGGCAAATTATAGGCCTTTTTTCCCCTCACAGTAGTCAAATGTGACTCCCTTTCTGAGTAAATTGAATTGACTGTTGTGGTTAGTAAGCCCAGAGCTGAGAATATCAGTCATTTTTGTGCCAAAGGGGTTTTCAGCCTTCCTCAGATGGGGGATGGATTCAGGGAATGGGGAAAAGAGCTCCTTGCTTGGAGAGGGCCCAGCCCCATGAAAATCCAGCAGCAGCATTCAGAGCAGCAAGGCCATTTATGCTTGCAGAATCCACCACAACCTAGCTTAACAACTTTCTGTCCCTCAGTAACCATGCCAGATTTTGTCCCAGTGTCTGCTAAAGGAGGGCTGCAATCCAGTCATTTGCAGAGGGGAAAAAGTCCTTGAGTAAGGATGGGGGGAGGCAGAAGTATAACCCCCAGGAGGAGAATAAAATGTGATGCAGGTTGGTTGGTGCATTCCAAGTTGTCT